GGGGTGAGAGACAGTATCAAAAGCCTTCCTGAAGTCTAGGAAAACTATATCCACTGCCACCCCTGCATCCAATGATTTAGTGACCTGGTCGTAAAAGGCCACCAGGTTGGTCTGACAGGACCTGCCACCGATGAACCCGTGCTGGTTGCCCCTGAGCATGCAGCTCCCTGCTGGCCCCTCCTGGATGTGTGCCAGAATAATTTTCTCGAACAGCTATTCTGAATATAATGCTGAAGGGCAACCAGCATGGATTCATAGCAGGTAGATCCTGCCTGACAAACCTTGTTTCTTTTTATGACCAGGTCACAAACTGCTTAGGTGCGGGAGTCAAGGTGGATGTCATATACTTGGATTTAAAAAAAGACTTTGATACAGTGTCACAAGTTGGCCTTGAGGACATTCTTGAAACACTTTTTTTCTGCCCTTCTCTTATGCCTTGACTGAGTTGGGAGAATAAGACTTGCTTCAGGAGACTGGAATTGGACATGTGGCCAGCCCAGCAAAGTTGTTGTCAGATGAACATTGCCTCAATGCTCATGGTGTTTGATTGTGAGAGGATGCTGATGTTGGTGGGTCTATCTACCCACAAAATCTGAAGAATCTTTGCAGGAAGCATTAATGGTACTTCTCTGATAACTTGAGGTATCTCCTGCATGTTGTCTACATCTAGCTCCATACTGTAAGGTGGGGATCACAACTGCTTAATAAACCATTAGGTTGGTTTTGGATTTGATGTCTTGATCTTCGAACACCCATTTCCTCAGTCATCTGAAGGCTGCACTTACAGATTTGAGGCAATGTTGAATGTGTTTATCAGTGTCAGCCTTCTGCAAGAGATTGCTTCCAAGGTATGGGAAATATTTGATGTTCTCCAGACTCTCACCATGAATCTGAATGACCAGAGCTGGGGACTGCTCATTAAGAACTTGTTAATGGAGGACCTATGTCTTCTGAATGTTAAGTGTCAGTCCCATTTTCTTGTATACCTCAGTAAAGATGTCAACAATTGCCTGAAAGTCTGTTCCCAAGTAACCACTAACTCTCATTCTTATTATACCAGTCTTGATGTTTCCTGGTAGAAAACCTAAGTGTCTCTTTGCAGGTGCTAATGATGATGACCTTGAAGTCACCCCAAGTGCTGCTGACATTCTTGCATTGTTGTTGATAGGACTTCACCAGTTTTTCATTGAGGCACCAGTAGAAGAGGTCGTGCTTGATTGGGTCCTTGAATCCTTCAATGCTGATCTTTCATCAGCATTGCTTCTGCTGCAGGAGTCACATGGGAGCCAGTTTGGGAGTGACATAACTAAGCAGATGAGTCCATGATGGGTTCAGCAGTCATCAGATCCTAGCATAGCTCAGGTCATGCAGACATCTTTGTGATCCTGGATACGAAAAATGACATAGTCAATCACGTGCCAATGTATAGATTGTGGGTGATGCCATGATGTCTTGTGCCCATTTTTCTGGTGGAACAAGGCATTGGTGATGCTGTGCCCATGTTCTGTACATTTGGTCAACAGAAGGATGCTGTTGGAGTTGACCTTTACTACTCCTCCCTTGCCAATGGTTCCATTCCAGAGGTTCAAGTCCTTTCCCGCTCTGGTGTTGAAATCACAAAGATGAAAATCACAAAGATGAATAAATCTGTCTCCTTCCAGAATGTCAGAAAAGACTTGGCCAAGGTTTGTGTAGAATTCCTCCTTGGTTTCATCAGCAGTGTCAAGAGATGGGTCATACGTGCTGATGACCGGAGCTTATTGACTCCCTACCAGTTTAAGAGAGAGAGTCATTAGGTTCTCCTTAATTCCAGTAGGAAACTTGTTGAGCTGGCTTATAAGTTCATTCATGGTGGCAAACCAACTTGGTGAAGCTGGCATTCTCTTTCCTGTTTACCCTTCCAGAAGAAGGTATATCTACCTCCATGTCATTTGAGCTGCTCATCTCCCACTCACTGGAGCTTGCTCAGTGCAGCCTCCACTCCCCATCAGTATAGTTCCAGTTCCCCATGGGTCTCAGAATCCTCCAGAATATTTTTGCCTCCCCAAGGCACCTGCAGCACCTCTGGCTAATGGGCTATTTTTCTCAGATGCCTTTGCTATTGTGTGGTTGTTTTTCCCCCAATCCAGCAGATAATAACGTGGGTACCCATCCCACCTGTGCAGGCCCCAGCAGTATAAAAAGCTACCCTGGTGAGCAGCTTAGGGTTACTTACCCTCAGGAGCTGCTTAGGCCCAGCCAGTTGATATATGGGAACACTAGCCCCCTGTGACAGCTGGACTACTGCAGCAGCCCTGACCTAGAGTAGCTCCTGCACCCTCTACCCACTGCAGCAGTCTGGCAGCAGGGGCTGCTGCCTGCTGTGACCTGCTGCCACCTGTGACAGCATCTGCCCCGTTGAACCTGCAGTCCCATGTCTGCACACGTGCCAAACCTAGACAGGGACTGCACAGCCACCTGGGCTTTGGCATGGGCACTGCAGTAGTTCCTCCTGCACCTCTGGGCCAGCTGCCAGTGGGCTGTGGCTGCACAGTTGGCCTTCAGGCAGCACTGTTGCCATGTGCACCCCTAACTTGCAATCTGGGCTGCTTTTGCCTGGAAGATGTCCTCAGTGTGGGGGCCTGCTTTGAATTGTAAAAGCATGTCCTCCTGGCCCCAAATAGCCAGGAGGTCAGCCACCTCATTTGCCCTCTAGCTGGGTCCTCAGTGCCAGCCCTGGGCAGGCTCCTCTGCCTGGGTCCTGCCACTTGCCTCACTAGCAGGAATCCTGGTTGTTTCTGTTTAAAAATAGCAAATTCTCTGATAAAGCTTCCCAAATTCAGTCTTTAAAATACCCAAAAAGCTGTGTTGTTCCATGATTAAAATGAAATGCCATTCTCTCTCTCTCTCTTTGAATTTGCTTTTGGTTTTTTATCATAGAAAAATCAGAGCTCCCCTGACCTCTTCATTAATTAGTTTGGGATAGCTGTCCCTGCAGCCACAGCTCCCTCCAGCAAGTCCCATCCTGCCTGGCAACTGGGCACGCAGGGTATGAGATGTGTGTGGGGTGGGGGGGACGGACAGAATGTGGGGTTTGCAGGAGGGTGGTGGGAAAGGGGCATGGGGTTCTTGGGTGTGTGTGGTGTAGTGTCGGGGATATGTGGGGTATGTGGGTGGGTGTGGGGGGAGAGGAGAATGTGGGGTGTGTGGGTGGGTGTGGGGCTTGTAGGGAGGCTTTGATGGGGGCTGCCATATATCTGACCCCCCTCAAGTGCACAGCCCCCAGCACTGGCAACAGCAGCCAGCTGGGCCCTCAGGGCCATGGCTAACTTCAGGCACAACCCCACAGTAGTGCAGCACTGCCTGATCCAAGGGCTGTACATGGTGAATGGGCCCAGCCCAGCCTGGCCTGTCCAACTATCTTGCACCTTTGAACTGGACAAGGATGATGCTTGCCACCATGCACAATTCCTGTCCATGTGTTGGGCTGGGCTGGGTCCTGCTTTTAAGTGCTCCATGCACTGTTGAGCTGGGCTGGTTATGTGGAGGCCAGACCCAGCTCGGCCCAATGCATGACCCCTGCATGAAGTGCCAGGACCCTGGGTGACAGCAAGAGCAGCTTAATCCTGCCTGAAGGGACAAGGGAACAGGCTGAGCCCACAACATGTAGCACAGGTGGTGCTTGGTTTGTGCCTCCCCCCCGGAGTCTCCCCCACTTACACATCATGCCTCCCACACACAGTACCCCCCATACTCACAACCTCCTCCCACCCCTACACAGTCTCCCCCCACACAATCCACTTCACCTCCATGTCCCTACTTACTGGGGATCGTGCCTGGGTTTGGGTCATGCTGCAGCCTTGCCCTGTTCCTATTTGGGGAAAGGGACGGGCATAGAGTCACTTGACTGGGTGCCAGAATGTCTCCTTGGAGGACTCAGCCTCCAGTTGCCTCAGGGCATGCTCCATTAGCATGCCATGTGCTGCTTTCTTCTGCTATTTCTTTTTAATACTGAGATTTTCCATCAGTAAATTTAGAGTTTGTGCTGCAAATATGCAGCATGGGGGACATTTTTTAGTTCCTAGTGTGCCTCTTGTGGCATCTCCAACTACTTTTCAATGAGACCACATGCAGCACATCAGTACAACAAACATGCAAAAAACTCTTCATGACACCCCACAAACTCTCCAAGATTTGGTGGGATTTTTGATAGAAGGTTATGGGGAAAAGGAAGACAGGACAGGTCCTTCTCCTTCTGGACCTTCATGTTTCACTAATGACTGGTATAGAGCATTGTCCCCATTAGATCTTTGTACATAGCAGAATAATATTGGAGTTAGGTGTAGCATTAGTGGATAATCTGAGTAAAGATTTTAAAACCTGTGGACTAGTTTTCCTGTTTTGCTCATACCAGGTACCAGTGCACGGCTGAATACATCTATATTATGCAGAAATGTAAAATCAATCTCTTTCATGATGTAGGGCCAAATTATGCTCCCATCAGTGGAAATCCAGCCTAACTCCAGATTTTTGGTCTGTGCTGTCTCATAGAAACATATCTCAGCCTAATCTGCTAATTATGACGTTTCTTATACTGCCATATCAGATGCCGTTGCTGCCTTCCAGTGCTCTGTAACTTGCTTGGTTCTGGATCTTGACAAGCAGAGATGATGGAAATCAGTTGTAGTGCCCAGAGAAGGGAACCACTAATCTAGAAGGTCATTAAACTCTACCCATTGTTCTACTGCCCTGCAGGTTTAAATAGGAATTTGACAAAAATGATAGACCCTGAACACAGACCATTACCCTGCTCTCTATTAATACCACAGGATACTGTGAGCATAGAAAGAAACTGAGAAGATAATAGAGAGGAAGGGAATTTTTCATTCCCATTCTCTACAACAATTGTTTAAGAAAAGAAAAGAAAAGAAAAGAAAAGAAAAGAAAAGAAAAGAAAAAAACATTTACTCTCCTAATAGATGAGTTTGGCCCATTTTCAAGCCCTACGGTATGCATGGAGACCTTGGAAAACCAGCTTAACTAGCTGCTTGAAGATTCATCTTGTGGGGAAGAGCTCAAATTGAGTTTCTGGGTCAACCTCTCCCCAGGCCCCAGCAGAGGGAAGCAGGTAAAATTCCCCTGCACTTTGGCTTTCTCATCCACCAGAATAGCCCTTGGATCTATTCAGCCATCTGGATGTAAATTTGAAGAGCCTCTGGACTGTCTAGATTATACTAGTACTGGATCAGATCTCAGCTAATTGTGGCTGAAAGCCACTAGCCTTGTCCTCAGCCAAGCAGAGCAGAGTCAGAGTAGAAAATGGATTCCTTTGTGCCTTGTATGTTGAAGATGTTCATCACAGTAGATGCTTTTTAGATTGTCAGCTGAGACAGGATTGTGCCGCAAACAGAACAACTAGTGCAGCGTGAGGAGTAGCAAACAGGCATTAAATAAGAACACAAACAATAATAAGTTTGAAAGTTGCTGCTATTCCTGTGAGGCCGGTAACAACAATGAGAACTTTGCTGATCAGTCTCTTTCAGGCTGCCTGCTGCTTGAATGTATTAATGGAAAGCAACGTCAAATCTTGTCAAAGCTTTTTTGGTTGCCTTGTTGTTATAATGGAATTTTGTTTGCTATCAAATCTAAGCCATCAAGTTATCTGTTTCCATTTTTATTTTAGAATTGAATATATAGGCACCACCTAACCAAAGTCCTAGGCATCCTACCATATTAATAATACAGTCAAATTTAATTAATATCATCGTGTCATAGGAACTCATTCATCTAGACAGACACCTAGAAAAACTCTTAATCACTTCCCTGTTATTGAAGGAAGCATAATGGAGTCTCCTTCACATCCCCACCAAACACATGGCTTCTCTACTCTGCCCCTAAGGTCACCACATCCCGATCTCTTTGGACAAAGTGGGGAATAAATCCCAGAGTCCTAGAGCCCTCTGCTAGCTGTACGCGCTTTCTCTTTTTTTTAAATAAACCAATCCATATCTGGTGCCCCTGTTGACCACAACTGTGGTAGTGCAACTCAGGCAGGGAGCCAGGACTTCAGATTGGCTGTTTCCAACCTGTTTTGTCTTTTGATCATAACCCACATGTTAAAACCCACACTGAGACCAACCGTGGCTCTGAGTATTCTCAGTGAGGACTGCACCCAGGTTATGCCATTTTGGAGGACTTCATCTTATCGGCAGCGGTGTGGCTGAAACACACAGCTCCAGCTTGTTCCTGAATGACCCCAAAGCCAGCCTTTGCAGGAGTTACAACTAGCATGTTCAGCAAAATGAGGAAAGCAATTAACACGCCCAGCTGAAACAGGTGAGATCGAA